TTGTTACTTTTTTAATAGTTTTAAATCCGGTTATTACTGTTACTTTTTTCATTGTTTATTAATAATTGTTAAAATCTGACTACTTAAATTCTATGATTGGTTTGGTATATTATTGAGTTCTTACAGAAAAACAAGGGAAACGAAAGACTGATTGAATAACAAAGACTGATTGAAAAAAAAAAGCACTGTGAAATAACAAAATTAGAATAATTGCTGCAGACAAGCCATATTGGCTTTTGTGGCTTGGAATTGTATGTGTTTTGTAAATTTGTATTTTTTGGAAATAAATAATAATAATAATAATAAAAACATAAAATAATTCTTTGAGAAGCTAATTTTTAGACTTGGGACATTTCATATGCATCATCATACTGCATTTACTTTGTACTTACACCAACATTTTTTGTTCACACTGAGTACCAAACACCCTGTATATATACAGTCTTGGTCTTCGGGGTTCGACCGCTTCCTTTGGTTATGTACACTATGTACAGAAACTACCGACGTTTCGGCCACATAACAGTCAGCCATCTTCAGGGCGAGGAGCACTATCACCGTAGTCAACAGAACTCAACTCTCTCCGTAAGGTAGGCGATGGACTTAATTGATTAGCGCCCCTTTCACCAACGCACGTGCACTCGCCAGCAGGGCCCTACGGTGTCCGGAAAGATGGGGACAAGGAATCTTAGGGACACGGAAACGGAGGCTGACTAAGCTATGAGATCGACTCATTAAATCGACTCGTTCTCTTTGTATCTCACCATCAATTTGTCACCTTATTTAAATGCACTTTTGTAGAGCGTAGGGACAACAGAACATATTTAGAACATTGAAGTGTTTTTGTGGGGTTATTTTATTAGTCACGGAGTAAACTCAAATAATAATTGTAAATGATTATTCAAGCATACATTTATTTAATCAAAATGCATTTGAATACTGTATTTCCAAACAATAGCTTCAACTTCGTGTGGATTTCATAGCCTCCGATTTATGACCGTGAATATGGGCGAATTTCTCTCGTATGTATTAGAACAATAACACAATATACCTTTTTGTTAATTCAGGAACAACCCTTGACTAGCTATTTACTGAGAAAGATTAAAGAAACGCCTGTTGTCAAATTTAATCGAAGGCATATTGTACAAAGTATTCCACCTATTGTTTAATCCAAGCAAACCCATAAACGTTCAGTACTTGGAAAGGTAAAGGAAATGAGGGAATAGAATACAGCGATGTCCCGTTAATCTCCTTGCATGTTTCTCCTAATGGACTTCATTTGCAATCTCTTGGATTTTCCTTTCAAACTGGCCGGTTATTGGGATGTCGGGTCACTCGGGTCAATTCACTTTTGTGTAGTTGCGAGTTTGTGATTGACCTACAATTTCCAACCAAAATATTGTTTTGGGTTTTACGTGTTAATCGCAAAAGAGGAACTCTAAGGTTCAGCCGTTGATAAAACTATTTTTCTAAATTCTTAAAAGTGGTGGTAATTTAGGCCTAATTTTTTCGTCCCCAGTTAATACTTACTGACATATTTTTATACAAAACTATCCAAAACACTGTTTTGTATGATATTGGACACGTTTTCTTAAATTCTTTACTGCAAACATCACACCAATTACCAACAATGTTACGAGACAACATTTCGTCTGAAAACAAATGCTGATCTGTTTAGAAATGTGTTCTTCTTACAAACTTTTACTTGTATCTTTAAGTTGTAAGTTATTTACAATAAGTGACGTGTTTTGGAATCACATCCAGTACAATTAATTTAGTGAAAAACTTTACACATTCGATATCGGTACAGGTTTTTGAAAAAAAAAAATATTCTCGGTTCAAAGTACCAGTACAAGCGGTACATAACTAAACAAAAACAAAATACAAAAGTAACCAAATACACCTATAATCCGACACAATGTGCAAACAAAATACTTTAATGTCATAAAGAATCATATCGAATTTCAGCCTCCTAGGTAAATGGGAAGTGGGAGAATTATTGATGATGAGTGAGTGAGAGTGAGTGTGACAGTGAGGGCTTTGCCTTTTATAAGTATACATAGCACATTCAACCAGCTGTTAGTTAAAACAAATTATATTGGACTAAAACAAATCGATGATTACAAAGAATACTTTAAAAATAATTTGAACATCAAATACTACTGTATTTTACTATGCATATTTAATTAATCTGCCATCCTCGTACCGAAGAATTAAATGTATCAATGGTCGGCATTACACATAGTATAAGTCAACCATAAGTATGTATTTGAATTTTCTTCCAAATGCTGAATTTGTGTCACAAATGCTGAATGAAAGTTTTATTCTAAGATTTGGTCAGTTTTTCTCATATCAGCCAACACAAGATTTAAAATTAATCAAAACCAAAATGGTGGTATCCACTACATACCAGATTTAAAAGTCATAACTTAAACGTTTCTATTATGGCTATAAAAGTTGAATATTGTTTCTAAAAGCGTTGACAGATGTGTAACTATTATATGCAACATGCAACAGATGTAAAGATTAAAATGTTTCTATTTTCAAATCAAATCAAATCAAATCAAATCATCTTTATTCCATAGACACAAATTGTGAAAAGTACAATAGTGTATAGGCTGCGTCAACAATATAATACAACTTAAAACTAATCTAAGGTTGAGGCAAAATAATCTTCTATTTTATAAAAACAGTTTTTTAGAAGAATTCTCTTGATGGCTACTTTAAAAACATTTAATGGTAACTTTTTAACTTTAACTGGTAACTTGTTGTACAATTTGGTAGCGGTATATTTGAAGCTAGCTTGAGTGGTGGCATAAAGGCACTGATCTATTCTTAAATTATTACAATTCCTTGTGGCATACTTGTGCACATCCTTATTAAAAAGTAAAATATCACAGTTGTTTTTAACATATAACAGACATTGAAAAATATAAATACAGGTTAAGGGCATCACAGACAATTTCTTAAATATAGGCTTACAATGACTACGTGGGGGAGCATTACTTAACAGTCTAATGGCTCTTTTTTGTAAAACAAACAAGATGTTGGCATGGCTACAATTAGCCCAGAGAATGGCACTATATACTAAATGACAATGAACATAACTAAAATACACAGTTAACAATACATCTGGAGAAACAATTGATTTTAAATTTCTTAAAATAAAAATTCCTTTGGAGAGTTTTGGAGCGATAAAATCAATATGGGAAAACCATTTTAGGTTGCTCTGTATCATCACACCTAAGAATTTGACTGGAGTTTGAGAATTCTTAGAGTTACCATAGGTCATTTCCAGATTTTGAGTTTTGTTTACGTTAAGAGACAGCTTATTGGCCTTACACCAGTCGGACATTGTTTTAACAGACTCAGAAATTACACTGTCCTGCATACACTTAGTAGACTTGATATTCAAACACACGTCGTCTGCATACATAAAACATGAAACATCATTACTTTGGACATTAAAAGGTAAGTCATTAACATAAATAATGAAGAGTAGGGGGCCTAAAATGGACCCTTGTGGCACTCCGTGGGGAGTGTGTTTAAGCTCTGACAGTGAATCCTGGAAATAAACAGCCTGGAATCTGTTGCTCAGATATGACTCAATCAAAGACACGGCATTATCACAAAAACCAAATGACTTTAGTTTGCCTAGCAAAACACTGTGAGACACAGTGTCGAAGGCCCTTGAGAGATCAAAAAATTTTGAGCAAACACCTTGTTTTCTTTCCATGGCTTCTAGAGTGTCCTGAATGTAATTTAAGACCGCCTCCGTAGTGGATCGGTGCTTGCGGAAACCAAATTGCGCACACGAAAGCAAACCGTTTGAATCCAGAAAGTTAACTATTTGCCATGAAAGCACTCTCTCAATGACCTTCGACAGAGTGGGCACCAAGGCCACAGGCCTATAATTGCTAACATCCAATCTATTACCTTTTTTAAATATTGGAACTATCTTAGAAATTTTAAGTTTGTCTGGGAAAGTTTTTCCCGTAATACAGGAGTTAATGATGTGTGCAATGACTTCACATAAATAATCACTACCATACTTTAGAATCTGAGAACTTAAACCAAAAATATCAAGACTGCTGCTGCTGCTTAAAGACAAAATAGCTTTATGTACACATTCTACTGATACCTCACAAAATTCAAATTTAACATTACACAAAGGAACACTAGACATATACTCATTGGCACTGGTTAAACTAACAGGAATGTTATCAACAATATCATCAATACTACTTACAAAAAAAGAGTTAAAATTTTCTGAGTTTAAAGGTGAATCAACATCTGGTAATATAACAACTGGGCGCTCATTTGTTGTGTCCTTCTTCCCGTTGCAAAGCACGGGTACAACAGCTAGTATTGTACTAAAAGCTAGCTAGAAGCATTGACTATTGGAGATGGTTAGCATCGGCTGCTAGACTTTTTAAAAACTAAAACTTAATTTATAAAAAACTGGGACACTAATTTTAAATTATGGCTTTGAAATTCCCTAGTTCTCAAAATTGTCTTTCTTTCAACACAAAACTAATGAAAATCCATCGACTGGTTGATTCAGAATCGTGAAAAACCCCCATTTACGTTTTAATAATATATATGATAGTTTGGACAGGTTTCAACCCTTCCGAGGCGTAATACATTTACACACATAATAACATAATAACAACAAATTAAAATGTAAATAAAAGCTATGCTGGCAAAAGGCCTCAAAAAATGAGTAAAATATTGGTGAAGTTGTATTTTAAAATTGATTGAAACCAATGTTAACCAAGTTAACAGTTCTTCTTGAAGATATAACAATAGTTAAAAAATGGTGATGGATATTTGGTTGTACAATCCTCAGTTGTGGCTCATCATCAGACTTAATGGGTAAACTGTAACTGTAATCAAACCATTTTAACTGCAATTTAATTAGCAACCTTAAGAATTTTATCAGTTTAAAATTTCTTCAAGACTGACACAGGACTGTAAAGATGTAATTTTTAAACACATTTCAGTGGTGCAATCAAAGTGTGAACAATATAATGGATGATGAAGAGAATAAGAGAAAAGCGTATGTTCTGGACTCTGATGTCAACTTCTGTTTTGAAGACAATGTTTTTTTGGCCATCAAAGCACCCCCTGGAACTCTCTTAGAAGTTCCTGTTGTGGATCATAAAGTGAGTAGCCTTTTATCATTCACAGTTAGTTAGTCTTTCAGGGTCCCAATAGAACACTTAATAATAGTCATCTTATAGTATGGTCCAATGAAAAAAAATCCTTCATCAAATAAAGAACTTTTAATATTTAATTTTTTTAAGGATTTGTTTAATAGGCTTATTGATTTTCCAGAGCTGTATTGGAAATTTATGATTTTCTCTAAATTCTAAGGTTGAGTGGGTATCAAAAGTAGAACCTAACCGAAACCTGGTTTAACCAAAATGGTTCTATAAAATAATATAGGGCTGTAAAATGCTTTAATAACTTAAGTTGTCTGGCTTAGAGTATTTTCTATCAGTAAGTAACATTTTTTTAGCTGAAATAAAACACTGTCTTTAATTCATTTTTCCTACACACTGTGGTAATACATTGGCTATTTTTAGCACATGATGGGTTAACCAAAAAATTTGTTATCCAAAACGGCTCCCCCCCCCTTTATTTTGGTTAACCGATATTCTACTGTACAATCACTCTGGAGTTTGAAAAAATATTTTTAGATGGTTACAAACTCTTAAGCGGGTGTTTGAAATTAACGAAATTAACATTGCTCTTATGGCGGGTAAATCCAAGATGGCCGTTAGCTTCCATGGACTCCCTTGGTTGGAGAACGATTCAAAACTACAATAGTAGTTTTCATTACTAATCTCGAAAGTGACTTATTGTAGAAATCTTTTATCCTGGAAACTTTGATATAATTAGCATTTCTGAATCCTGGCTTAAGCCGGGTATTCATTCAAATGTGTTGTCTCTCCCTGGATATGTGCTGCAGTGAAATGATAAAATTGGTAGACAGGGCGGTGGCATTGCGGTGTATATACGGGAGGATTTAAAGTTCAAAACTATCTTTTCTTCACCATCGGAGTACTCGGCTGGGCCAGAATGCCTATTAATTGAGATTAGTTTATCTGGAGCAGATGCGCTGTTACTAGGAGTGTGCTACTGCCCACCAAGATCAGGGCATCTGCTCAATCCCACACTCGATCCCACACATCATGTTGCCAATTCTGATACCCTCTTAGATCTAATCGTAGTGTCCAATAATCAAGATATTATTCACCATGGGCAGCTTCCAGTCCCTTCAATATCCAAACATGACCTCATTTTCTGTGTGTACTCAATCTAATCTCCTAAACCCAAAGCAAAGCTTATGAAATATCGGGATCTTAAAAATATTATTGTGGCACAATTCATGTTAGACGTTCAACAAACTCCGTGGCACTTCATTCAAAATTTAAATTCCGTCGATGAAATGGTTCAGGAGCCATATTAAATCCATATTCAATCCATATTAAATCCATATTAAATCTCTTTGACAAACATGCTCCCATCCTAACAAAGCGCGTGACAAAACGAAGACCTGTTCCATGGATGACCCCTGAAATCAAAAGTTTGATGGCTAAATAGGTAGAAGAGCTAGGCACTCCAACAATATTGAACTAAAACATCAATATTTTAATCTTCGTAATCGAGTTAAACAGCTTTAGCGAAATTCCAAACTCAGATACATTCATTCACTTTTTGAAAATCAAAAACAGCCATCGAGAGTTTTATGGCGTAAAGCTAAAAGTTTTGGGCTTGGGAAACAATTTGATTCTCAACCAGTACACATCGCTCTAAATGAGTTAAACGTTTACTTTTCTTCTAGCAGTCAAAATACCAATCAGCATAAAGTCAATAGTTACTTGAATGAATTAGTCAACTCTCCAAACCCCGCACCTGGGATATCCCGAGTTTAACTTCAAACCAGTTATTCAGTCTGATGTTTTGATGGCTATTCGCAGAATCTTAAGCAATGCTGTCGGTTCTGGTGGGATACCCATCCGCTTTATCAAAGACATCCTCTACGCAATCCTTCCTACTATCACGTTTATTTTTAATGCATCTTTGAGGCACTGTTCTTTCCCTTCATTTTGGAAGTCTGCCATTGTCCGTCCCCTAAAAAATATCACTGAAAATAACATTCTATCTGACTATCAATCTGGTTTCAGATCAGCGCACAGTACAGAAACAGCACTCCTTCGAGTGACTGAAGACATTAGACTTGCTATGGAGCGTCGACAAGGAACGATTCTAACTCTGTTTGATTTTTCCAAAGCATTTGACTGTGTTAATCATGACTTGCTGGTGCAGAAATTAAGGGCAATAGGGTTTTCCAAGAATTCTCTTAAATGGCTGAGATCTTATCTGTCAGATAGGCAGGTTAGTGACACAAGATCAGACTGGATGACTGTTACATGCGGTGTGCCCCAAGGATCAATCCTTGGACCACTGCTCTTTGTACTGTACATCAACGACATAAACTCGACCTTGACCAACTGTAAACACCACATGTACGCTGACGACTTGCAAATTTATGTTTGTATACCGTCTATGTTTGTAAAATCCATTTTACTGCAAACAACGAAAATGACTGTGTCAGAAGGATCAATGAAGATGTGAACCGAATAGTTACTTGGACTGAGAATCATGGACTGAGACTAAATCAAGAAAAGACAAAACCAATTGTAATCTGCCACCCTCGACTTCGCCCTTCAATTGACTTAGACTCAATAAACCCAATCACGGTGAGTGGCAAAGCACTTCCCTTGGCATATCTTTCAACTCTTCACTTACTTGGGACACAGCAGTTAGGGACACACAAAAAAAGGTTTTTGCCTCCATACATTCACTGAAAAGATTGCAGAACTTTTTGCCACAACACAAAACTTCATTTGATCAAATCACTTGTACTGCCCCACTTCAGTTACTGCAACTCAGTGATCAATGACATGACTGTGATTCAGGCGGGTATGCTCTAACGGTCTCAGAATTACGCTTTGAGATTTGTCTATGGTCTGCGGCGTGAGGAGCATATCACGCCATACTACCTTGAGGCAAACATCTTGAAATTAAATTATCAAAGATCCATCAAAATTATGTCATTGGTCTTTTTAATTTTGAAATCAGGCTCCCCAAAATATTTTACATCAGATTTTAAATTTGTGTCTCAAGGTAGTTCACGAATTTCTCGTTCTTCTTCAATCACATTGTGTATTCCTCATCATGTGACCACCGCTTATGACAGGACTCTTGTTGTTACCTCTTGCCGTCTTTGGAACACCCTACCCCTACACATTAAATCCCTTGATAAACAAGTAAGATAGAAACAATATATAAGAGTTAAAAAAGTTTAAACTTGAGCTTGTCTGTTCATGTTTTCTCCTCTTGGTCGTGTTGGCCAAAGAACGTTTTAATCACACAGTGAAGTATATACAAACACTCACACAACATATTTATCAGTAATAGCACGCCAATTTATCAAATAAAGTTAAACCGACCAATTTTACCAATATTTAACGCCAACAACAAGACAACATAACCTCAAGACTGGTGTTTGTTGACAGACGAGGGACGAAAACTAGGCCGGCTTAACAGGTAAATATCTGATCAGCTGTTGTCTAGTAGTACATAAGTTCGTTGCTAGAGCGCGTAAGCCTCGACCGGACTGGAATGAGGGATTTTCCATCAAGACAGAATTATTCCTTCGTACTTTGTCGTCGAAGTAACCTTGTTGTTACCTACGCACGCTTACACGATCGTTGATAGTTCGTTTACCGAAGGTTAGCCATATTAGTTAATTACCACGATTTATGTTTAATTTTCGTTTAACACTCGCATTCCCTTTTCCAAATTTGATTTTAAATCTTAAATTTAATAGCTTAGAATTTGCAGGCCCACTTTTATAAACGGGCAGACAGGGTAAATGCCCAGGGGCGCCGAAGGTTTGGGCGCCTCAACCACTGCCCGCACAAGGCAAAAATGGGGGCACTGCTTTTGGGTTTGCCCAGGGCTCCACTGACCCTTAACGCGGCCCTGAGAATTTGCCGACTTACTTCATACCTGCCAGTGACTAGCGGTGGCCGTAAGTTGGCTTGGTTTAATTTAATTGGTTCGAAATTACAACAGTCCCCGTTTGTTTATTAACTTTATCTTTTTGTTTCATCATTTAAATTGATTTGAGTTATTTCGTCGTTTTAATACCCCGAGACTTGTCGTCTGAGTTCTGAACCCCATCATTGGCGGGTGATAGAACCAAGTCTTGGGAGAGTTTAATTTGAACAGTGAATTACAAGTATTGTTATTGAATTTATTTTATCCGTATCAAGCTAAATCTTTCGTTCGTATATTAATTAGGCTCCGTAGGCTCTGTAGGAGTTTCTCACATTGTATTATATTTTATATTATTTACCAACATCTTTAGCCAAACAGTAAAGTCTAAGGGTGTTTGGTCAAAAATTTTCATGTCTGATTTTTTGTTGTTGTTCAATTGTACTAAATATTAGAGATACAAATATATAAGAATTTTTTTATTTATTTTGAATACTAAGCAAGATATGGAACTTGAAAGTAGTGAATTTTTCATCTTTGGTACCAATTCACAGGGAGAATGGGTAATGCGATTCTTACCAAAATTGGCATTCAGGTGTGGAAAAATAAGATAATAATCACTAACTATTTAAAATGGGTGAGGTTCATTTGTCCAAGTTTTCAACTGTCCGAGTTTGTTAAAAATTACAAAATATTTGAAAAATCAGTTGTCCAAGTTTCATTTGTCCGAGTTTCATTTGTCAGAGTTTTGATAAATAATTAATAATATTTAGTAAAATCAACTGTCCGAGTTTTCATTTGTCCGAGTTTATTAAATTATTAAAAAAAATATCGAAATATCAAGTGTCCGAGTAGAGTCAACATCAAAAATGTGACACCGCGCGCCTAGACTGGCGTCTCAGGCGCCTGGTCAGAAGCCGATGTAAGCCTCTTCTGCGAAGAAATCCGGCATTGTGCGAGAGCGCCTCACGTCGCCTTAAGAAAAATTATGGACATTTTTTTATCATAGGACTAATTTTAGAATTTTTAATTATAAAATTAAACTGTCATCACCTAACACAACCAACCAAACTTACTGATAATATAAAATACC